AGGGCAATATCGCCCAGGAGATGTCTAAACTCAACGACGACACCTTGTGGGACAAGCAGGGCTTCAAGGAGCGCCACACCTCCAAATACAGGTAACCTCCACTCCTTACTTACGCGTGAATTGGATTAACGCTCCAATTCCATCTCACTCTCCATCTCTCATCGTAAAAAAAAACAAAAAAAAACACGACGCGGGCAGGTTGACAGACCTGGGGCGCAAGCAGGCGAGCCTGGCGGGAGACTACATCCGCAAGTACATCTCCAAGAAGTTTGACCGCTACTACTGCTCCGAGTATATCAGGTACCGCAGACCCTCGACAGGGATCGCGTGCTTTACGCCCGTGTTGCTGGCACTGGCACTCACGCACAGCTCAACTCGTCTGGTATGTTGGTGCACAGAGCGATGGAAACGGCTTCGCTCCTTGGTCTTGACGGAGCCCAGTGGTTCTGCGACTTTTATCTGCGCGAGCGGGACAAGGGCGTACGTCGCCCGTCGTACCTTCGACGTCGGCACACACACGCACACACGCACACACGCACACACGCACACACGCACACACGCACACACGCACACACGCACACACGCACACACGCACACACGCACACACGCACACACGCACACACGCACACACGCACACACGCACACACGCACACACGCACTTTTCTTTCTTTTCTCGTGTTGCTGTTGTTGTTCACACAATTCGCAGCTGCTCGGCGGAGTGTCCGATCTGCAGAGGAAAGAAGAGGAGCACTACCGCAGCGTGATGGCGCATCAAGAGCGAGGCATGTCCGCACTGCCCCTTGTCTCATGCGCGTCGTGTGTATTGTTTGCGGCGCGTGCCGTGCCTCACACTCACCGGTGGATTCGCACAGACGCCTTCTACTGGGCGCCGCCGGGCGGGGAGTCCATTGCCAGCTCGTGCTTGCGTGTGGACCGCATGCTCGATATTCTACGGTAGGGTCACCAGGATGTTGCGGTGTGTGTCGTGTGTTGTGTGCCGTTTGTGTATGTGTGTGTGTGTGTGTGTGTGTGTGTTGTGTCGTGTGTGTGTCGTGTGTGTCGTGTCACACGGGACCTCAACAAGTTTCTTCTGTAGGACGTCGTGCTCCGGGTTCAAGGTCGTAATGGTGTGCCACGGTAACATTATGAGGGCTTTCCGCGTGCGGATTGAACGGTACGTCAAACAACGCGGCAGCGCACCACACACACGACGCACGACACACACACACACACACACACACGACGCACGACACTCGAGCATCCATTCTCATTTGCGGCGCGGGCAGGATGAGCCAGAGGAAGTTCAGAGAGAATGAGGAGAGCACGGACGACCGCGACAAGATCTGGAACTGCCAAATCATCCACTACACGAGACGCGACCCCGAGACCGGCATCGTGGCGCCCAACTTCTACTGGGTCCGCTCGATCTGCCCGTGGGACACCAGCCTCTCCTGGAACGTCTGGCAGCCCATCCACAGGTAGCCTTCACCACCGCACACATCGCCGCACACATCGCCGCACACACCGCCGCACACGCGGTGAGTGAAATAACACCGGGGTTATGTGGCAGGCCGACGTACTCAAACGAAGATCTGGCGGCCGAGGTGGGACTCGTGCCGCAGCTGATCAACAACGACGACGTGGAGCTGTTGGGCCAGACGGCCACCGAGGAGATCGTGAAGAAGCGTGCGCTGCTCACCGAGTGGAAGGAGCGCGAGGAGGCCATCGCCAAGAGCGACGAGGCCGAGAAGGAGAAGGAGGACAAGCGCCGCGCCAGGGAGTCGTGGCTGCCCTCCAACAACCCCAGCTCCGCCACCAGCACCACCACCGCCGAAGGAGGTAAGGGCTCACACCACATCCAGCAACTCGAGCGCGTTGCCCTCTAAAATGCGCCGCTCAGCTGGCGTTGTGGGCGAGAGAGTAAATAAAAAGTCAATTTATTTGTTTTTGTTCATTTCTATTTACGCTTGTTTATTTGTTTATTTGTTTGTTCGTTCGTTCGTTCCTGATGATGGTCAGGGAGGGGTCAGAATTCGGGATCGGAAGTGCCCACCAGACCCTCGTGCCCGCGTGACACCCAGCGAGATCGTCTCTTCCTCGGCTTCCTCTAGCCCAGAACACGAGAAGCAACAATCAACACAGAACCCCCTGCCTCCAGCGATGCCATTCACTTGTACACTCGAGTGCGACCAGCAAAGACACAGGCAAACTTGGGTGCACATGGCACACGCCACATTGTTGTTCCCTGCACTCGACCGTCGCAACAGTTACCACCCTGTAGCAGTTCCCGTCATGCGGCGGCAAGAACAACTCATCGGCCAAGCAAAAGAACGAAAACGAAGACTTCTGAAGTCGTCAGAGAACGAAAGCGAAGAAGGGGCAAGGGAGGAGTGGAGTGTGATGTTTGTACGCACGAGCGCACATGCTTGTTTACTTTTACTACAGTGTTTGTACAACAACACCAGCAAAGACGCTCGCTTAGAAGCACTTGCGGTGGACAATCGAGGGTTTCTTTCCAGCCCGATGTTTCGCCGGAAAATAATAACAATAAATTATTATTTTGTGGGTTTGCCTGCGTCGGTGTGTTGTGGATGTGGTGGTGGTCTTCTACTTGCAGATCGAACGATCGAATTGAAGATGAAAGGCGGACGTCTGACAACCGTACAATGGGACACCATCAACTTCGATGAGCTGAATGAAGCTGGCCTCGCTGCCGTTCAAGAGCAGCGCTACCGGCCAGGAACGGCTGCACGATCGAACGAAGCGTTTCGGGCCTACAAGACCTTCATGACGAATTGCCCTTCAGCCCTTGAGAAGAATGACGGGAAGCTCCTTCCGATTCTCGAGCACACCATGCGATCCTTCCTGACTTTTGTACAGACAGTTCTGGTCTCTCTACTCGTTCGGCTTATTTGACTGCCGCTCTTGATCCTTCAGATGGCCTCCTTAGGCGTAAAACAGCTGGATGCGGTGTACTACCATGGACTTCGCCGAACATCTGAGATGCATGGTACTTTGTTTCCTACGTACCACGTAGCATTGCACAACACTAAGCTGACTGGCACGTAGGGCATCCCCCGATGGCCTACGGTCCCAATATGGCCCGAGTGATCCGTGCGCTGGACAAAAGAGAAAGGTTACGGTGAAGCACACAACACCGCTACTATGTGGTACGACATCTTACCAGTAGCATCAGGCTTTCAGTCGCTTCCAACTGACGTACTTGATAGAGGACGCGTACCACATCGTCAGAAAAATGCGATCGTGCGGTTCCACCAACGCACGTGATGCGGCAATCCTGCTTGGCGATCTCTCTCTGGGCAAGAGGATGTCCTCCCTGTTCGCTCTCTGCATTGGCCATCTAGCATTCCGCATGGAGGGTGACAAGATCCACATCGAGTGCACGTTCTACTTCGACAAGGTTCTGACAGCACCGCACACGCTCACGCTCACACCTCATCCTGAGAGAGAGAAGGACCCCATCTATCCGCTGATAAAGGTATTTGTCTTGCTGCTACAGTCACTCTGAGGCTCACATATTATCAGTCCCTTCATGAGCGTGGGGTGTTCATTGGCAACCCCTTTCAGGGGGAGTTTGAAGTGAAGGAGCATACCAAGCAATGGCCAGTCTTCTGCCAGCACTTGAGCAATGGCTACCTGATGAATGAGATTGCTCTCAGCCACAAGGCAATCTTGGCGATGGTCAAGACACGAGCTGAGCAAGCAGGCTACAAGAGAGATCTCTTCTCTGGCCACAGCCTTTGTGCTGGCATGGCTACCAGCTTCATCATCAGTGCGCTTGAGAGGAATGGAGGTAAGTCTTCATCTTTATGTTTTAGCAGTGTTCTCACATGTGCAAACAGGGCAATGGCGAGATGACATGTGGACAATGCTTGCATGCATTGGTGGATGGATGATTGGAACAGGTTCCAGGTCATCACATGCGCAAGAGCTCTATGTCAGCAAAAGTACTCCACCCTTCACACTTTTCCTACTGAGCAGAGCTAAGACTGGCAAAGCACTCGACAAGGCAATCAACACCACAGCAGTGATAGGTCAGGTCGACCATGAGTTCAAGGTCAATGAAGGACTGAAGAAGCATGAGCATGATGAATCAAAGATTCCGACAACTTGGGCCAGGCTTCCAGTCACCATCCTGCACTCAATCTACAACTCATCACTTGAGGAGAAGTGGCAGAACCAAGCAAGAGAAGTGGTCATGCTCGAGACCAGGAGCATCAAGATAGAAAGATCACTACGTGGTCTGGAAGCTGAACAAGTGTGCACATGGGATTGGGCCAACAACGACAAGACTCCCGAGGAGAGCGAAAAGGTGAAGGCGCTGAAGGTGCAGCTGGTCAAACTCACAGCACAGAAGAACAAGCTTGCTTGGACTCTGTACATTACCCGCTTGCACCAGTTCAACCAATGGCTAACACATTTCGGTCCTCAGTCGTCCAGTCAGGCGCAGAGCAACAGAGAGGTGGTGGATGGACTGGGTCAAAGATCACTGCGCCAAAGAAGCCTTCCAGGCAATGGAAGACGATGAAAAGTTGCACGAGGCACTTGCAAAGGTTCGTGTTTTGGAGACCACACCACATCTCAGCTGCTCGCCAACACGCTGTACCTCTACAGTTGCAGGCGTTCAAAGAGAACCAGGCACAGATCACCAAGAAGGCGGTATGTGTACCATGGCTGTGCAAAAAGAGCCCCACTCATCTGACGTCTTTTACCGAAGCGCAAGGAACTGAAGCTGCTCAAGCGGCAGAATGACGACAAGAAGGTGCGCCAACTTGTGCATTCTGTTCCTTCACTTGTGTAATCACTTGCAACACCCCACTATCTCCACAGGTCAAGGAGCACCAGCAAGCTACGAAAGCGGCCTCTTCGGCCAGAGCAGGAGAGCAGGATCGCTTGACGAAGGCTGTAAAAGGAAGGAAGATCCAAGTATCCATCAACATCGGGCGTCCGCTGTTTGACAAGCTCATCGCAACGGAGCCACCCTACTAAGTAAGGTAAGTGCGCTCTTCCTTCTTGAACCCAGCTCAACGAGTACTCACGCGGTGAAAGGACGAACCAGGGCGGACGTCAACGCCGACGAGGCCACCAGGCGTCGATGCACAGAGAAAAAACGCTCAACACAGTTCGCAAGCAGTTTTTGAAGGAGTGGTTGTATTGAAGCTGCGTATTGATCTACTATGTACAAGAGCGTCTCTCCTTTCAAAAGCACTTGCGGTGGACAATCGAGGGACCAGACTCGTCGTACTCCTCCTTGGAGATCCACATCTGCTGGAAGGTGGAGAGCGAGGCAAGGATGGAGCCACCGATCCAGACGGAGTACTTGCGCTCGGGGGGAGCGATGATCTTGATCTTCATGGTCGAGGGCGCGAGGGCGGTGAGCTCCTTCTGCATGCGGTCGGCAATGCCGGGGAACATGGTGGTACCGCCGGAGAGCACGACGTTACCGTAGAGGTCCTTCCTGATGTCGACGTCGCACTTCATGATCGAGTTGTAGGTGGTCTCGTGGATGCCGGCCGACTCCATGCCGAGGAACGAGGGCTGGAACAGGGCCTCGGGGGCGCGGAAACGCTCGTTACCGATGGTGATGACCTGACCGTCGGGAAGCTCGTACGACTTCTCGAGGGCCGACGACGAGGCAGCGGTGTGCATCTCCTGCTCGAAGTCGAGGGCGACGTAGCACAGCTTCTCCTTGATGTCGCGCACGATCTCGCGCTCGGCGGTG